AAGCAGTGACATGGATTTCACCAGACACCTGACACACTAAAAATCAGATCGACTTTATCTCAATCTCAAGAAAATGGAGACGCAGTCTACTTGACACAAGGTCAGGAAGAGGAGCAGATGTAGGCCCAGACCGCTCACCATCCAGTGCAAGGAACTTTCAAAATCAAGACCACAGTTCAAGTACAATACCCAGAATGGGAACTGAAGGACGAAACTACAAGGAAAATCTTCACGGTAGCCATCAAGACAAAATGGGAGATATTGAGCAACATTCCTGAAGAAACCTGTGGGAAGAACACTGGAAGTCTTTCAAAGAGATGTGGAAAGAAACCTGCACAGCCGTATTAGGAAGGAAGAAGTAGAGGAAAGACAAGGAATGGATGTCAATGGATACATGGAAGCTGATAGAGCAGGGAGAGGAGGATGGTGAAGTAGAAGATAAACCAGTGCAAGGATGCTCAACGAGAAGAGGAACTGAATACAACCTATAAAACACTACACTGGACAAAGAAGTGAAGAAGAGTTCACGGAAAGACAAACGACACTTCCACGACACACTGGCAAGTGAAGCAGAACAGGCTGCAGGTAGGAGAGACAGAGACCTGACAACATTGAACCGAATAACCAGGTTAATATCTGGGAAGAGACCAACACAGATGAAACCAATAAAAGATGAAGAAGGAAATTTAATTACAAAAGAAGAGAAACAGAGGAAACGATGGGCTAACTACTTCAAAAAGCTCTTGAATCGATCACCACCACCTGCACTTCGTCCAGAAATACCACCTGCAGCCCAGCCACAGAACTACAAGTGAACATAAACTCTCCGACGAAAGTAGAAGTGCTGAGCTCCATAAAGCTACTGAAGTGCGGGAAAACAGCAGGACCAGATGGAATCCCACCAGAAGCACTGAGAGCAGACGCAGAGACAACAGCGGATATGCTTACACCACCATTGCAGAAGGTCTGGAAGGAGAAGAGAAGGTACCTACCCATTGGTTGTTAGAAGGGCTACCCTGTTAAACTCCCGAAGGAGGGCGACCTAAGTGTTTGCAAGAACTGGAGCGGAATCACGCCCCACCTCTGTCCACTCCAAGCAAAATATTAGGCCACATCATCCTGGAGAGACTAAAGGATGCGCTGGATTCGAAAAGTACAAATCATGTGCGGACCAAATTTCAACGCTACACTACGCATCATTATACAACAGAGTATAGAATGGCAGTCCAGTCAACTCTCTAACTCAACTTTAGCCACTTTGAAAAGGCCTTTGACAGCGTCGACTGAGAGATTATTTGGAAACTTCTTCAATACTATGGAATACCACAAACCTTTATCAGCCTCATTCAACAACAGCTATATGAAGACGCCACATACCAGCCAAGTAATTCACAATCGGAAGCTCAGTTATCCCTTTGAAGTGAAGTGAAGACAAGAAGGAGTAAAACAAGGCTGTCTACTATCATCCATGATATTCCTGATTGTGGTTGACTGGACTGGATCATGCAACAAACAGTGAGGAGCCAGAAGAGGGGGATATGCTGGCTGGACTGCAGAAAAGAACCTAGAAGATCTGGATTTCGCCAACGATGACTTGTGTCTAATGTCACCCAAACTAGAAGATCTACAGGTGAAAACTCACAAGTTGACAGAAGAGGCAGGGCGGCGAAGACGGGACTTCAGGTGAATATAGAGAAGACAGAGGTGATGGAGATACCCAACCAACACCACCACCAGCAACAACAACAATAACCAACTCCAATCACCATCAACGGGAGAAACTTAAAGGAAGTAGCCCCTTTCACCTATCTAGGCAGCACTCTTTCAACTACAGGTAGCGGCATGGACGAAAACGTCAAAGCCAGTCAGGATCAGAAATGGAAGACAGGAGTTCATTAACCTGAAACCAGTGTGGAGATCTTCTGCACTACACTCAGCATGTGGAACAACATCCGGGTTTTCAACACCAACACCAACGTCAAGTCAGTGCTTCTACGTGATGGTTGAGAGACTTGGCGCGTTACGAAAAGCATTTCCAACAAATTACAGACATTCATCAACAACTGTCTACACTGACTCGTTACTGAAGACCAGATGGCTAGAATAATAACAATCAGCAACAACAAACTCTGGCAACGATCCAACCAACAACCTATCACTGAACAAACATGCACTGGAGGGAAGTGGAGATGGATTGGGCATACACTGAGAAGGCTGACTGGGGACATCACGTGTCAGGCCAGGCACTCGAGTGGAACCCCCATGGAAAGCGACGAGTTGGGCGTCTGAGCCGAGGGTGACATGGAGGAGATCGTGAGAGGCGGAAATGAGAGCTTCTGGGCTGTCGTGGAGCGAGGTTCAAAAGTTTGCAGAGAACAGAATGGAATGGAGACGTGCTACTGAAGCCCTATATTCCATTAGGAACCCAAGGATTAAATAATAATAGCAGTAGCGAAGGGCAGCTAAAACATTGTCTACGGCTGCATAATAATGCACTAAAAATAAGTCATACACATCTGATTTTACTCCCAGAAAAAGATGAATGATACGAATATATTTGGATAGTTCTCACCTTCAGTGTATATGTAGGAAATAATTCCCGAATTCGGACTTTGGAGAATGGATGGAAATCCATTCAGCAATGTTGAGCATATTCGTTCAGTCGGTGATGAGGTACACGTATTGTGTGAAGCCTAATGATACTACCTAGTTGCCCAAACCTCGATAAGTGAAGTAATGTTCAAACCCGTGACTCATTGGTTCAAAGTCAACTCCCTAAACCAATGAGCCACAGCTTTGGGGACCAGTACTAACTAAATGCTACATATTGATGGATTCAATTTATCAGCTCCAACTTGAAAACATTCTTTTTATCAAACTTCTTTAAGTTTCTATTTCAATTTCAAATGTACTCAATGAATCACACAGTGAATAGATATTCTTTAGCGGATGACATGTAGGATACAATTTATTGTCCATAGATATACTTTAATATGACGAATCTGATACACAGACTATAAAAGAATTGCAATTGACCGAAGTATCAAAGTTTTACCCTTATATTCACTAATGAAGCAGACCATAAAGAGAAAGTTCCAAGGACAGTGTTTAAAGCGTTCTTCACGTTCACGCTTACGTGACCTTTACCTGGAATACTTCTTTATCAAATTTTGAGGGGGTTGTGGAGATTTGGAAATATTTCAAGTTGTTATTCATCGAAGACTGACATCAGTTGGAGGAACACTGGACCGCTGTTTCGTCCTAGTATGTGACTCATCAGTAGTGCGCACCCACAACCACTCCAGGGGTCGAACCTAGGACCTTCAGGTGTATTGGTGACTAGCTTCAAGAGGTGATCCATGAAGTTCAATGAGAAGTCGTGACCGGTGCAGGGAATGTGATATAGATGTGCGGACAAATACTCATCGGTAACATTGGGTGATGGTCATGCTATATCCTGAACTGACAGAAGTTGGAAATATGAACCACTGAATTCTGACCCAGTGGCTCAATGGTAACGTGCTTGCCACAGAACCTGAAGGTCGCGGGTCCGATCCCTGGTGGGATCACTGGTGCGCGCTGTTGAGGAGACCCAACCTAGGATGAAACTGCTGTCCAGCGTCCCCATGTCTCCAATGTCTTTTCAAATGATGTCAGTCCATGATGAATGCCAACATCTTTACCAACCTAGTGCCTAATGACAGTAAATATTAGGTTTTTCATTTTGATTTCGACATTAAGAACTCTTTTAGGTACAAAAAAGTTGAATAACATTCCATGAAATTTCAGGAATCGGTCTTTTCGAGATCGACAGACCCAAAGGTCAATCACTAATCATTTGTACTTACAGAATACCCACAAGTGCCAGGCCAAGAACACAATACGGTAGCCACGTGGAATAGTATGTTGGATAGACCTCGTTAAAATACCGGTTCGTTCCTAATGACGTGGATGCTTGATTGTATGCCTTCAGCTTAGCCAGGCTCGTGAAACTATGAAGGTCAGTATCAATGCTGAATCTCTTCGAACCCTAGGCTACTGATTTTAGGGGAATTATTCACCTCTACAAGATTAACGAATTAGTATTGTTCTGTTAAGATTGTTGTTCTTACTGCATTTCAACAACTGCTTGATGGACAGAATTGCATGCAATTCGGTGTAAACATGGAGATGGATATCAAGAAAGTGTGCAGTGCAGTCACAACCACTTTAACAACAATAACGACTATAAGGCAGAAGTGAAGTCTTTCGGAGGTTAAAGACAGAAGCATGCTGTCAAATGACAGAAAGCACGTATATTCTACCCATAATTTCCTACTGTTTGCCTTTGGATGCAGATGTTAAAAAGATAAATGAAACTCACTACACTAATCAGGTGTCTAGTTACAGGATAGTGGTGATTAGTACAATGGATCCCCTCTGATACGCATCTTGTATCAATCATGAAGCTATCTGGATAAATACTCAGTAAGAGGTATGTTAATGATGGATAGAGGTTAGCAGCCGAATCCTGAATACATGTCTCTTTATATTTGCAACCCATCAGCGTCCCAGCGAGTGATGTTGTTCCCGTTAAGGCTCGCACCTGGGACCGGTCGCTTCAAACACTAGAGCTTTATTCACTAGGTCGTCGAGTCACGATGTTCACATCTGCGATGGGTATAGTTTTTACATTGTTACTTGTATTATCCCATCGTTGACTGGGCTAAATTGATCGGTCTCTATTGGCAAATGTGCTCCTGCGCGAATGTTTGCATATTGTTTGTATTTTCAGTTTTATATTAATGACAGAGGAAAAATGATAAGGGAAAAATCGGTCATTCGGAGGCATGTATATCCAGCTAACGAGTCCCAAACAGGATGAAACGCGGGTCCTAAATTCCACTACTAGCCATCACTCATGACTGATATAAAATTGAAACACAGGCATTATCGAAGCATCCACGCAGGAGTTCATATGCCAATAGAAACCAATCAATTCAATCCACTCAACGATGGGATAATACAAGTAACTATATATTTCATTAAGAACACTTAAACTTCGCCAAACAAAATATAAGACTTGAAGTTACAACGCAGAAATATTCATCATACACAAACTCAAGGACTGAAGGCGGATTTATGGCGTTCAAATAGTATAAATTTCATTTAGTTAAGTTGGATTGAAGATTACAAAAATAAACTTGTGAATTTGTTTGAATAAATATTCTATTTATCTTATGTACAAATATACAAAACATAGAAGTCTTTTCAAAAGGTGTATACAATCAAAAAATGAGAAAAATATACTATAAAGATTGGAAATTGTAATACACACTTTTGAGAGAGGAAAGAATATTTATAAGTGTGATTGGTACCTCACACAATGAACATTGAAAGAATAAGGATGTTTCACTGATAAAAAGAATAAATTGATGTGAAAAATGAAGTGTGAAAAGGGAACATTTATATATATATCTTACGTAGAAGTTAGTCATTTTCAATGAGTTCTAAGTCAAGATCAGTGAAAGACAATACTTGTTTATTATCGGTGTTTGATTCAGTTACTAAGACGTCGGAACAAATACGCTGACGGTTAGGCATTTGAGGAGAAAGAATAGTTTCCATATCATCGGATTCACCACCAGAGTTGGAACGTGTTGATGATGGTGTAAAAAGAATCACTTGTCGATCAGTATCATTATCTTGTGGATTTGTTTCAACTGGATGATTGTGTACAGGGATTATAAAAGTTGGATTATTTTCATTGTCTGAAATATCCCATTTATTATTCGGAGGTGGACAAATAGGCGTAAATGTGATATCATGAATTGATGGGGATGTCAATAGAACTTCAGAATGATGGCAATTTATATCGGATAATCTACTACTACTATTACAATCATCACTACCTTCTTCAATCATAGTTTCAGGTGTCTCGTGTTCTTTCTCATCTTCAGTCATTTCAGAAAGTTTCCCTAATTCATTGCAAGTGTAACGATGAATAAAGTTATCCTCGACAAAAACATCAGGAGAATACTTAAATCCTTGTGCACAGCTAACACCACCACAAGCCTGAAAATTGATACACAAAAAAAAACACTTAGTTGCAAGTCAGACAAACAAATGACTCGGAAACAAAAATAAGCGTAAAATAATTGAGTTTTAAGTAACGTATTGCATGTGCGCATTTACGCAACAAAGAAACTGTCTTAACCTTAGTTAAATAGTCAAACAAATGAATTGAAATCTAGCCTGGCGTAGAAGTGCATCATTTGGAGTTGTAACACTTCTTTTTGATATGCAGAAAAGAGGTAGGTAGAAAGAGAATGACACTAAGAGAGGAAACGGAATAAATACACAAGATAAGCGTAAATGCTTTAAAATCGCATAGCTGATAAAGAGCATATGTATATCTGAGCTATCATGACCAATTCCAAGTACGTCACCAAGAGTCTTCAACCACTGGTTTCTATAATCTCAAGGACCCCTACCGGGCAGCCTACACCTTACACGACTTAGACCACCAATGAAAGACTTCGTGAACTGGTGTTATATCTAAATCTGGCCGCCTTAAGATTTCAACCTAACCTTACTTCGGCTGAAATCTAGCGTCAGAGTAGGCAGTTGATCAGCATGTGTAACACATATCATAGTTATCTCGGTTGGTAGAAATTTGCAACCTCACGCAAGTAACCTCATTACCTAATACTTTGCGCTAAAGCAGTCAAGCGAACTGATGAGTTTTGAAGGCCTGCACTGACAGACGTGATTCGGATGCATTGTGCATGCGAAAAACACAGTCTACCTTAAAGCATTACACTGTCTGAAGCATGTTCAGCTCAGTGTTACTAGAACCTACAACAAACTACCTAAGACTTGATAACTCTTACCTTAACATGGTTACCGGGCTTGTATATCACAATGACCCAACGAGCTACACTATCTGAAACGCTTGTTCCCTCGGCGTCCTGGCATGCCATAAACTTCTCCTGCGCAGGGGTAACATGAAAAGCAGTTACCGTTGTAATGAAAATAGTTATGATGGGGGTTCGAGGGCGAAGTCGTGCTGATGGCTGGTTGCAACGGGTGTGACAGCAATAAGGCGTTTCCCTTAGGTGACCACTAATGCTACGCTGACTTTGCCTTTCCTATGGGAAGGGAATTTAGAAAAGGTTGGCCCTGGAAGTAGCACATTCCTCCCTGCCCCACAGTTTTCCGGCGACGGTGGTATGGGTTTTCTCTATCCAGCGTTAGAACAACCAAACCTCAAAACGGCAACCCGCAAAAGGCTGCGTGTGACAGGTCTCAAACAGATGTCCCGTGTGGTCTGCCATCACACATATCTTTTTCTCTTTCAGAGACTTTAAGGAAAAACAGTCTTTCCCTATGTGGGTAGACGGGAAATGTCAACCACTCACACACTTCCAATAGCACACAAGACCTAATCAAATATAACCTATCCTCTTCAACTCTGTCTTCTCCCTTGATTTCACTTCCTGATACTAATATTAAGCCTCTCAAAACTTCCTCAATTGTCAGACAATTAAACTTTTTAACGTAAACGAGAAATATGGAGGCAAGTATCTTCTATTCTACGAGTTTAAAAATGAATATACCGCTTCTATATTTTCTATTTCGGTATTGTAGATACTGAAATCCTTCCTACTAGGGTGATAAGTTCAAACTTCACGTGTCTCAATCAATCAGTAGCAATTTTATAATTAAACTAAACGGATACTAAACACTTAATCTTCTCTGTTCTAACACATATTAGAAGCATGCATTACAATGTCATCTGATAAACTTAAGCACCTAAGGCTTTGATTATCATTTTCAAATTCGAAATATCTTCTAATATAGATCAATGCATCATCTGACGTCACGTGTTACCATCAGAAAAGAACGTCCAAATGACCGTTAAAGCTAAAGCTTCTAACCGCAACCTCCTATGGTCTCTTCCCTACCTTTAGCGCACATTGAGAATTCCTGTATAATTTGCACACACAAGGCATGCTAAGGTAATTGAGATTGAGAATATCAGTCATTCAAGTTCATTATATCGAATGTCTATACAAAATCTAAGAGGGGATAACTGTATAGGTGTATCATAAAATCAGACAACTACTTATTACTTTTTGATGTTTATCAATTGATTAAAACTACATTGTAATTAAAACATATCAAAAGTGTGAACTTTTAAATATTCACACCAAGTTAATTAATCCTTTCTAGTATAGGTGGTCGCTGGTTCAAATACGGCCGCCGTCCAGATTTTCATCTCACTTTCAATCATCACCCAATATAAAATAGGTAAATGTGTTTGATGATCTTCAAAGTCAATATACTACTGAAATATAAGTAGTGATAAACTTTAGAAATAAAGAAAAATCAAAGTAAGGTAAAAAAATATCACTCAACTTCGTAGAAAACTCACATTGTACTTATTTTCATTCTCGTGTAATATTTGGCATGGATTGACTGTTTCAATAGAGTAACAGTCGTCCACTATTTCTATATTGTTATCACTCCCATTGTTATTATTATCATTATAATTTATAGTAGTATTTGAATTCGGATGTGTACAACGTTTATTCAATTTTGCAGAGTTATGCTCATCATTATGATCCGATTCAATAAGTGTACAATCATCTTGATATTCATATGTATCAGATAAAAATAGATGCTTTGTAGAAGATGAAATAGAATTTGAAGCCGGGAAGGAATTCAACGGATATTGATCGATTAAAGGGAATAATGTATGCTGTGGATCATGATATGAGGACATACTTGACAATTGTCCACCGCCAACACCACCACCACCACTACTATTGCTAGGATAACAATTACTACTGATAAACTGGTGATGATGATGATGATGACCATGATGATGATGGTGGTGGTGGTGATGGTGATACTGTTCTAAATTATCATCCAATGTAGTATTCGATAGCATTAAGGACATATCCCGTAATTGATCATCTTTATTTGAAGACAATTTAACATCATAGTTGTTCATTATATGGTCCGTTGGCTTGCTGTAAAAAACACATGCACATGGAAGTATTTCGTCATGTGATTCTTCTTTCTCTTGAAGAATATTTGAATTGTCATAATTATGATGTGTAAAGTAATCAACAGCATATTCTCCACTTGGTCCACGTCTACGCTTTAATCCAGTTGTTGTTGTTGTTGTTCCTGCTGCTGCTGATGTTGGTGTCAAAGATGTTGCTTGGATACTGTTGGTGATATCCGTAGGTATAATTGGAGTAAATGTAGTAGAAGAAGACGTTGTACTAACCGAATGACAAGTCTCCTTAATATGCTTCGGACAATGAAGTAAATGTCGACGATTAGTATCATAGATCGCAGTATCATTTGGTTGAGAACAACATCGAAGCATACATTTAGTTGATGGAAAGGAATAACTACTATTACTGCTATTGCTACTACCACTACTATTACTACTGCTGCTGCTATTTCTGTCGTGCTGTGCTTGATTATTATTACTATTGTTATTATTATTATTATTATTTGGTTCACTATCTTCCAACTTGAAACATGATTCCAAATCTGTTAATTGGGTTGAAGTAATACACTGACTTGACAACTTTTTATCATCTGACTCCTTTTCTTTATTCCCTCTGCAACGACGATGGTGATCTCGACCGTCACGAGAGTAATGGCAGTGGCAATGACAATATTTTGAATTCGCAGCAGTATCCGAAGATACACCAAACTAAAATATGTCCATACATGTGTGGGATAGGGAGGAAGAAAGAGGAACGGAATACAATTTTCATGACATCAGATATAGTACAAATTATGTACATAAGGGTGATTAATTAGAGTTGAACTCTTTAGTAAAAGAGCTCAGGCATACCACAGAGTGCCGTCGAAAATCACGAAACAGGATGGAACAAAGTGAAACCAACGAAAAAAGCATAACACACATTAGGAATGAGTGGGTGCTAAATCCTAATATCTACCAATAAAAACCGACGAATAGAAAACAGTATAATTGGAAACGTAAACCAAAAGGTTGTGGTATTATCTCACTAAGGTTATGAGCAATACGTTGTGAGCCAAATGGTATCTAGTACGCAACAGTTTCGCTGTGGGGTTTTTGAAATAACAAATTATTCTAAATTATACGAACTACTTGAATGGTTACTAGTAGTAAATATCGGACGTTAATATATGCATAAGGCTGCTGGGCTACTTGTAAGACATGAAAAGCATCCTAAAGATTACATTAAATTCTAAACTTCAAAAAACTAGTTCAATATCATATACAAGCAAAGAAGAAGGGTTTCGAAAAGTATTAAAATAGAGAATTACACATCATACTGGAATTGAGGAAAATTAAAAGCGTTGAATATATTTGCATTTCACATTCCTGAAGAAAATTGAGATTTTTCGCTTTCGAAGTTTGAGTTTTCCGCAATAGATATTAGGACGTCCACATAATGCCTAGATTGATATCAAAATCTTTGCTTTGGATCAGGGGGCTATACATCGAACAGAACATCCAAAAAGCAAGCTGAAAAGATCTGGAGATATCGTTATTTGGCTTGAGGGCTTGACTTTGAAAGCCATCGGTTCTAGGTTGAAATTCTACTTCTCACCCACTTCAACCTGAGAAAATGGGTACTGTCATAAGCTACCGTGTATTAAGCGTGACTTATAGACTAGGAAAAAAAAGTTTGTACAGAGACAAAGTTGAGGTCTATCTGTTTTGCTATTTCAAGCAATTACCAAAGTATGAGAATTTGGAGACGAAATAACCTTGATACAATTTTTCTTCCTATCATTTGGCCAAGCTTTCTCGGTGAAGATGACATGGATGCTTCAAGAAAATAACAATATGGTGATAGAGAGAATTGAATCATTCTTTATTTGAAAACGAATAACCTACCCGTGAACAATCTGGTAAACTAGATGCCTCAGATAATCCAGAAAATGATGCTTCATGAAATCCAGAAGAAGGAGTTCGAGCAGCTATCTGAACGGACGAAGATATTGACCCAGCAGCTGGTGAAAGTGAAAACTCCAACGAGTTAACACCAATTGGGAAACTGTCAAAGAACGTTCGGGTTGGCGTGAATGCCGATGAAGGACTACAAAATGAAACATTATACAATATTTGAAGATTACTTACACATAACGAAATTAGTTATCTTACTTCAAATAACTATTCTGTCTTAGCATATATATAACTGCTGAATGAGGCAGTATTATGCGTTCACTAGGAGAAGGATTACCAAATTTTTAAAAAGTTACAAAAATAACTAGTGAATTAAAAGAACTATGCACTGTGCATTGTCAAATGTTAGGTGCCCCTTGACAAACATTAACGTACTCCATGGTCGCCCTCATCCTTCAAAAGTGTTTGAAACACCTTGAGGAGACTTATGTCCAAGCTGAGATTCAAACTCATCCGAATCAGTTCTGAACCGTTAGAAGTAGAAGACATAAAGTGATTACAGGTTTGCGATCACCTATTTTTATGTAGCATTGCTTGCATTAGTTCGAATCACCGTGTCAGTTATGTTGAGGTCAGGTGAATAGTACTAGGCAAGACAGGCAAGTCGATTGATCAGCTTGTCAACCTGCATCGACTGGTGCGGCGTAGACATGTGTTCCTCATGCCGAAACTCAATATACCTCGATGTTCCATCCTAGAGGAAACTAGATTAGGTTGGAAGAGAGTTCACGGTGGCCAAACGAAGACATCACCACCAGTGATATCTGAAAATTAGTCGAAGTGGTGTAGATATAATCACTCTCTGATATCTTCTTAAACTTGAATATCCGCACTGACCTATATCTTCAAATTGCCTTTTTCCTCACACAACTTTGTCTACTTTGACATCATTCTTTTCTGTCGACTTTTTTTTGCATACTGCTATGGAATGTGGTAACTTGAGCCGATACATTTGTATATGAGATTCCATTTCGATTTTCTCTGTCTACCTCTACTTAGTTCTGAAGTTAGATATTCGACTACTACAGTATTTTCTCTACAACATACTCTTTTTAGAATGAGAATGAGTACATGGATTCATCACTGGATATTTAACTATAAAGCAGCTGTACCTTAGCTTAGTGATCATACTGTTCGATCGATCGACTTCAATCAGAACGCAGAATCTATAACTTGACAGTTACATTAGGGACCAGCTGTAGCACAATACTTACTCCTATAGAAAGTTGGTCATTTGGTCTGAGTAGCTTTATTAGCAAAGTCAATGACTTCAGAATTGAGTAATACACGTCTGAATCTTTAAAAGAACATCGTCTACCTGAATCAAAGTTTCTGGAAACTCTCATTTGATGAGTGTCAATCAACAAGCTGGAAGGCTGGATGCGATAGATCATCTTGCCGACTGACTCCAACGATCTGATACTAAAGAGAAGCAGCATTTAGTAGCTCTATACATTATAAACTTAAGGTGAATATAGCTTTGATATTTAACACCCTTATACACATAAAAGTGTAGCACGTGAATCTAAGGTATTGGCCTACACAACATATATACATACAACACTATCCGTGATTATCAGTTTTATCAGGAAGAAATACTTCAACAAAATCAAGTGATATCCATCAACATAATAATGATAATAATGAACACTGACTGCATATAATTACATAATTAGTCATAGTACATACATACACACATATATATACATACAACAAGGCAGTTAGCCAACTACTACACCACATTTTATTATGACGCATTTGAATGATGTATGAACGCACACGAAGCCAACACACATACATAATCTAGGAAGAAATATCTTTCGTATAATTCAACCACGTATAATGATAAAAATTTTTGTATGGTTTTATTTTCACTTTACAATTCTTTTCCATTTGATTCTTTTTTTCTCGCTCTGCTTGCTTCAACTCTTTATTATTTCTCCATTCAAATATATATATGCATACAGACAAACACAGAGACATGCTTACATACATTTGGCAATAGGCCAACTCTTTTTGCAGCTATGCTAAGCCATAGCCAAAAGCTATTAATCTATTTTTATGTCTGATAGCCAGGTCAAAACTAGTCGGGATTTTGGCCAATAGGATTAGGCATAGAAATCAATATTACGCCAATAATAGGCTGGAAATCTTTTTCTTTCATGAAATGCTTGATATACTTTCAACCAATCACAGTGCAGTAATGGGTTATATTTTTTATTTGTTCTACTGCCTTGAATGTTGGCACTAATGTCAGTGTGCATAAGTAAAGATTGGCTAGAGTGTGAACATATAATCTTTGCGACAGATCAGAAAACTGTCGAACCTTATAATCTACACTCAGTAGGGGTTTTAACCCAAATAAAAGTACCATTATTGATAGACTATCAATTAAATGTTTTCTCGATGAATCCTATAATAACTCTTAACATAGGCAGGTACGAATTATCATATCAAATGAAACTGACAATGAATGTGAAGGAAATTAAAGTGATCACTTTGAAAAGTTCGTTATGCACTTCGACATGAAATTTATACCAAAGAGTGGTCGATCGTTTGAGGTAATAACTGTTGGATTGGAGACTGTCGGTCCGGAATATATTACTGAACTGTAACAGATTTGAACGCAGTTTTTACTTCACAATAATAGACTAACTATTCTGGAGAGGAAAAATGGTATGAACATAAGCGCAGATGAGGAGACTGATTTCAATTCTTCATAAACTCTTGAACTCAGAACTAAACAAACGTAAAAATAAATGGAGAGTTCAGTAAGACATTTGATAGTGGTTAGTGGTAGGATTCAACACAAACGGTTCGCCGCTGTTTCTGACTCATCAACTGAAAATGCTTGTTGGGTGGGTAGTACTGAGACTGCAACCTGAATCTAGCTCCAATCCCTTAAATCCAGTGGTACCATCAACCAAACCACAGAGTAATAACAACCGTCTTTTGTTCAGCGGGTATCAATTTTCGATATTGCGGTTTTGGAGATTTCCCGTTGCTGACTGACAGGATTAACTTCGAGATTTAGGTGTTAGATAAGAAGAAACTGCATTTCCAAAAGATTCTTTTTAAGTCTACTCTCCAACAGGTGAAAACTTCTCAACTAATAACCTTTTCATCCTTTGGTGTGGAAATTGAAATCCACTCACAAACTTTGTGCAGATTATTGTGTGATATTATTTGGTTGCTCAAACTTCGGTAAGTTGGACTGAGTTGAAAACCGTGACCCACCGGTTGCAGATAAAGTGATTAGACCAATGAGCCACAGCTCCTTCGATATTTCTCATCATAAAGCCTTCACTATATACGCTAAACGCTAGTATGCATACTATATCAAGGGGTTTTTGAATAATTTTTCTATATGAATGGTATTTGTCCCAACGGCATCAATCTCTAGAAGTCCGCAATTTCGATGAACTACATTATCTGGTTAACTTGGAATTCAGTGGTAAAACTAAAACCCCTTCTGGTTAGTATTCATCACGGACTGATGTCATCATCATCACACTATGATGAAACACAGCTGTGCACTGTCCCCAGGTTTCTGATGTTTCACCAACTGATGTCAGTCCATGATGAATACCAACGTGAAATCAATAAATCAATAGCTAAAAACTTGTAAATTAAACCATCTCTTACTGCGTAACATCTGATAGATGACTTGTAGGCACTAGGAACTAAATAAAATTGAGTTTCTCGTGCAGTTCGTACCAGGTATTCGTGTCAAACAGTGATATAGTGAGACAAAATCTACTGACTACCGCTGCTGTATTTTTAAATTCCCTATGACAAGGATACCACCTATCGAGTACAATATGTTTCAAACAGACATTAACAATATGGGGAGTGACATTATCGTGTAACCGTACATCTGCCCACTGATAACAATTGAAAATTGAAACATTTAAATGATTCTAATACAGAATGTTTACTGAAGTGCACGTTTTTTGGGTTAAAACAGAAAGCTGATTGGTGGACTTATGAAAATGAATTGATCAAAGTAGAAGCATGGGACTAATAACAGAATGACCAGACGAAAAAACAGCGATTATGCATAGCAAGATTTATTGCTCGTCTATGTTTCACGATGGTGAGTAGGTCCTACAGCTACAAAAAAGGTAGGAGATGAAAAGTAGCCAAATCCTTTTGATGGCATTGTGTTCATTGGGTTGCGTGGTTTAATCACAAGGCTTTAATTGTCATTCTAGACATCATCGGCATAAACTTCGGAAAGAAGTGACCTAGAAGGTTTTCTTCACAATTTATTTAGTAGCTTGTCCTGATGCCCTTGTGTGTGATTGGTTGCTTCTGCCAAAGTCTTGTCATTGTCTCCAAATTTATTTTGATTGGTTGACCTCATGACACAAAATTTGACGTTTTTGTTATTTCCTATTGGTTGGTAGATTGGGTCGATGTCAACATGTCTGTTAATTGCTGACTGACCTGTATACCAAGCTCCTGAAAATTTTCTGACATTCTCTGCATTTCCTCTATTCAAGATTTTCACAAATTCATGTCAACAGTTGTCTATATGCATTAATATAAGCGAAGATATGTCATGATGCTTCATTGCTAGTTAATGTTAATGTAGACGGATGTGAAGGGGGTGATCATTCTGTCCGATATAGTGTTCTTCTCAGCTTCTGCAGTTTATCTTCTTTCACGATTCCATCTTTTGGACTGCATAACACAGATTGAAGAAATAATGTGGGTTTGTGAACTACAGCGATTCCAAAAGGCTTCGGTAGTTTAGTCGTGATCTCAGAGACATTTTTCATGTAAGACAATTCGTCCGTTGGTTTCTGAAGATGATTTCTTTGTTCACGACGAATTAGAAAAACATTTTTTGATGAAGTTGCATGAACAACTGTTCTAGAAAAATGTCATAAAATAGTTTTCTTTTCTCTGTAAGGTTGATGCGCTATGGTCTGTTTTCGATCTGTTGAACAATGTTTTTATGGAACTAATTTTGTACGCTGCTGGGTTGTTGAGAATCTGATCTACATGAGTTGGTTTTCTGTATACTTCAGTTTCCTATTTTCCTGAATCCGTTCTAGTGATCAGAACATCTAAAAATGCAAGTTTGTTATTTGATTCCTCTTTAATTTGATGTTGATGATTAATTTG